AGCCATAACCTCTGCAAATTCATATATGCAACAGTCCTGTTGTGTCTGGAAATCAGTGTTTCCACCTTTCCCTCTGGCTCTTATAGTCTTCCCACCACCCCTTCCACACAGATTCCTGGTCACTGAGTGGGATGAAGACATCCCATTTAAGACTGAGTTCTCCAGAGTCTCTCACCCTCTGCACATTTCCAGTTATGAGACTCTGTCTTAACTGCCATCTACAGCAAGAAGAAGCTTCTCTGATATGGGTCGAGAGAGGCACTGATCTATGGTATAGCAGTGTGTCATTAGGATTCACTATATTTCTGTGTTCTTCTGGCACAATAACAAGTTCAAGCTAGATTGTGTTCCAGTGTTAATCCTGGGATTCACCAGAGAAGAACCAGTTCCACAGGTCATTGAAGGAAGCTTCAATTAATTAGTGACCAGAATGGTCTTTCGTCAGGACCACTCCGTGGGATTCCCAGCTGAGTGATCCCAAGACATGTATTGTTGGGCTTTTTAAGAACAAACCCATATAGCCACCCATTTTTCCCTGTTGCTTGACTGTTATTTTCCAAGAACTACAACTCCCAGCATTCCAGAAAGTTGCAAGTTCCTTGGGCAGGTGGGGCTTACAGGTTAACTTTAACTTTTAAGTCTTACAAGCACTGCAGGGAGGAGTAGACAAGGAAACCTAACCCTACTCAAGAAACCATTTGCAACTGATACCTGCTAACAAGTGGGACAGTTGGTTTTCTCCAATGGAGTGTCATTGGGTGTAGCAACCACTCCAGGGCAGGCCCCAGGCCCAGTAGGTTGCTAACACAAAATGACTTCAGTGATGTGTGTGTGTGTGTGTGTGTGTGTGTGTGTGTGTGTGTGTGTACTGTTTGTTTTGTCTTATCATTTTTTTGTTTTACTAGTTTTTTGTTTGTTTGGATTTTTGTTTTTGTGGAGTTTTTGTTGCTTTTTTGTTTTGTTTTATTTTTTGAAAGAGAGGTGGGGAGGATCTGGGAGGGGTTGGAGAGAGGAAAATATGATCAAAATATTATATGAAAAAAATTAAGTAAAAAAAATCCATGGAAAACCAGAATAAGCAAACAACAACAATAATAATAATCAAACCAAAGCTGGTGGAAGGTTGCAAGCTTCTCTCCTAAAGTCAGGATTGTTAGATGGGAGTTGATGGAGGTGGTGTGGAAATGAAAAAAAGCGAAGCTGACCTCTCCAAAGGCAGAATTGTTCTTTTAGTCACAATCTCAAAGGAAGTAGAGACTGGGCAAATGACACTGAGGGCTTGGAGGATAGACAATTCCATCTGCAGCGTGCCCTGCAGCCTCCAAGTGGTGGATCGAATGGAGGTTGGTGTATTGGTCTTCCCTGAAGCCTCTTGGGTCCTCACTGTGCACAGAAGTTATCTGTCACTTTCCTGTTTGCATTTTCCCAGCCCATCTGAGGCTTTTCCATCAGTAACCCTTCAAGATAAAGATGTCCATTTTGGGGGTCTGGAGAGATGGCTCAGAGGTTAAAAGAACTGGCTTCTCTTCCGGAGGTCCTGAGTTCAATTCCCAGCACCCACATAGTGACTCACAGCCATCTGTAGTAAGATCTGATGCCTGTTTCTGGCCTGCAGGCAGAAATGCAGTCGAGATTCTGTATGCATAATAAATAAATAAATCTTTTAAAAAATGTCCACTTTTTGGTCAAAACTATTAAAAATTTAACCAGAAAAATTAAACAAGAAAAAGTTCGAAGCAGGAGCTAGGTTTAGTGGAACATGCCTGAAAGCACAGAACCAGGCCAGGAAGACCATGAATGTATTTAAGGCCACTGTAGTCTCCGTAGTTAGTTCTAGAAATGGATTGATTATTTCAAAAGGATACTTATATATCTACATGTATATTTACCACTTAGATCATTGTTTTTCATTAGTGCCAAGGTATAAAAGTCTTCTATGAGACAGGCAATGTTATCAAATCATTCCTTCTACTTGTGAAAAATTGCCTTTTGGGTGGAAGGTCTGTGAGTCTTCCTTTTTCCTCATTTTTTCCGCTCCTCCTTTTCTTATGATGCTATGAGAAGAAGAATATGAGCATGTTTCCACAGTTGAAACTCATCCCCAAAGCTCTAACACAGAGAACCAACAGTATAGGCTCTACAGCCAACATCTGGTTTTGGTTCCTGTTCTTCTATCAAAGTTTTAACTGTCTCACTTTGGGCACTTTAAGACTGTTCTGTTACTTGATATGGAGAAAATAAAATTATATCCCTTCTACTTGTGCTCTAATTTTAGTTTTAAGGACTAAATAAATGGATTTTTGTGTGAGGCACTTTGCTAAACCTGTATTGTGTAATAACCTTTATGATAGTGTTGTTTTCATTTGCTTATTTAACACATTAAAAAGTGTGTGCCAATGACAGGCACAACTTTAAACAGAAAATTTGTTTTATTGGGTACCCTAAGTAAATATGTGCTGTTCTGGAAGCTCTAGAAGAAAATAGAATAAGGAGGTAACAAACAGTAGAGGTTATTGCTAAAGTGGTAGAGGTTTTTTGGGAGGGGGGGCTTTTGGTTTTTTGAGACAAGGTTTCTCTGTATAGCAGCCCCCTGGCTGTCCTGGAACTCACTATGTATATCAAGCTGGCCCGAACTCACAGAGATCCACCTGCCTCTGCCTCCTGAATGTTGAGATTAAAGGCATGCACCACCACTGCCTGGCTAAGATTATTCTAGTTGAGAACATGCACATCCTGGTGAAAGACTACTATTGGCTAAGGAACAGCATGCGGAGTTCTGAGACAGTAATGTTTCCGAGGAGTGCGGGGAAGAGGAAACCTGGTTGTGGTTTTGCTGGAAACAAGTGTGATGGCTGTGGTGCGAGTGATGTCAGAACTTTGTGAGCTGTGGCACTAAAGTACATTTTACCCTTGTATGATAAAAATAAACAAGTATATGTGTGGTGTGTGTACACATAAGTGTGAGTGCAGTCACCTGTGTGCATGTGGAGGTCAGAGGTCAACTTCAGTTACCGTTCTCTATTGCTCTACACCCGTTGGTTTTTTATTTGTTTTTTGACAATCTCTCAATGAAACTAGAATTTATTGTTTTCACCTGGACTGATTGGCGGGGGCTCTGGTATTTACCTGTCTGTATCCTCAGTGCTGGAGCTACAGCCACTTGTTGCCACATCTATACCTGGCTTTTACATTGGTGCTGGGCTGCTAACTCAGGTCCTTATGTTTGTACAGCAAGCGTTTTGACCACTGAGCTTTCTGTCTAGTCTTGTCCCCAAGGTTTTAAATACATTTGTAGAAAACATATATTTAAAGTTATGACATTTGATTTTACAGAAAGGGTACAAGTATACTTCCCTCCTCCTCAGACTGGGGAAAAGATACTTAAAGATCTTTTCTTTTAAATGTACATGATTTTTCCCCTTCCCATCCTCCCTTCTATGTTCCACCCCTCCAGCTCTTCCCATGTTTTCACAGTGTCTTCCTCTCAAAATGATGGCTTCCTTTTCTTCCTTTTTTTGTGATGAAAGAGTCTTGGGGAGAAGGAAGTGGTCTATAGGGCAAAGACTGGAAGAAAGAAACGGAGAGTGGGCCTTGATGTTGGTTCCCTAACAAGGACAGTTTGCAGTTTGGTTAGGGTTGGTAAAGCATTTGCTAGACTCATGAGTTCAAGAGAAACAGAGTTAAAGAGGTAAAGGCAGAGAGGTTAATACACTTCTAACACATTCTGCTGCCTTAAGGTAGTAGTCTAGGGGAACAAGACAAAAGATCTTTTGGATGGGTTAAATGGAAAGTATTTAAGTGACTTAGGTAGAAAGAAAAGTGTGAAGAATCAGAGAAATAGAGATATAAAAGGGAGAGAAGGAATAATATTTTGTGTACATTTAGGAGTCTTAATCCTAACCGGAGCATGAGTGTGCATTTAGAATAGTGGGAAAAAGACAAAGTGTATAGGCACATAGAGTGTTTGGTAAATTGGTCATGGGAGTATATGCAACTTCTAAATAATGCTACTTTCCTTAGTTAAAGAAACAATGGGCTGCAACTGAGACATAAGCAAGGAAGGAAGGAAGAAGATAACAAATATTTGAGATTTGAAGTGTTGGTCTAAAAACAATTTATAGGAAGATGAGTGTGTGAATAAGCTAATAATGTTATGTGTGCTCAACTACTGGGCATTTGTACTTGAGGTCCAGTGTCCTAAAACAGTGTATAATTTGGCAGTTTCTCCTATAGATACATTAATCTTCTGTAGCTACAGACACAGAATAGGTGGAGTGCTAGATGTAGAGTTGGGATTTGCTGTGTAGGTGTGAATGAAGAGAGAGGGAGAGGAGTTGAGTACATGAAATGGAATAGTTCCAGTGAGAAGGCATAACATCTAAGATGATGAGAAGGGAAACAAATCAAATGCTGCATTCCAGCCCAACCACAACTGTCTCTAGTGCTATATTTCTACTCTCCCTCTGGCATGTGTTCTCTGAGATGACCTTCCTCTTCCTCCCCTTTCTCTACTCTTGTCCAGATGGACACATACAAATCCAGCATCTGCTCAGGCCCTATTCACCATTGAAAGCACAGCAAACACAGTGCTACCTACTTGCTGTCTTCCCTCTTCACCCTCAGTGAGTGCTGGCTTGTCTTCCCCTCGACTCCTACAGCGCATTAAATGACTAACTTGTATGGTGCTATAATTCTGTGTGTGTGTGTGTGTGTGTGTGTGTGTGTGTGTGTGTGTGTGTATTTTAGCTTCCCCTTTGTACCTGTGAGTCCATGTATCCTTAGTGTATAGTATGTTTGATGTTCACCAAATGTTTGATGAGTCGTTGAAAATCTCAAGTAAACAGATTCTTCAGTGTTTTTCAAAGCAACTGTGAAAGCCATTATTGTCTAGGAGTTACTTTTAGTTTCTTTTATATAATCCAACCTGTGTACTACTCTATGGTGATCTTGTATTGTTTTAAAATAGCATCACTGTCATCATTGTGTTGATTATTTTGCAGGAACATCTGTCTTTGAAGAAATATGTTGTTGACATTGTGATTGAAAGTGCAGCTCCACCAGAGCCTGTGAAAGATGGAGAAGAACGGCAAAAGAATAAGAAAAAAGCTAAAAAGATAAAGGCGCGGATGAACTCCAGGTAGCATAAATGTCCTTAAATACAAAACAAAAGCTCTTAGGGAGGGGTCATTTAGTTTAATGGAATAAAAAACATTTAAACTTCTTTGCTTCAAAAAGCTTTGGAAATAACACTGATGAACCTAATTTATAGCCACTTTCTTTAATTGAGAAAGAAAGCAGAGTATTGATCCAAAGCCCCCACTTTCACCTGCTAAAGGGCTTTTCTTATAATTAGATGCCAAGGCCATGCCAAACTTGTGTCTCTTACTGCATACAATAGTACATTTAAATATTTGTAAACTAAGCCTATTTTTCTTTCCAACTATTGATTTTTAAATGAAGTATCAAAGAAAATCAATAGCAATCAACAAATAGAAGTCAGCTGGCTGTGGTGTCAAAGCCCCATGACAGGGTTTAATTAATTTGGTTGCCTGTCACAAGAGGAAAAAGTTCAAGAAATATCTTAAAATGGAAAGCAAGTTATCAGACCTGTAGTTTATCATCAACTTCCAAAGTGACATCTGAGGCCAGACAGCTGTGTAGTACATTACCTCACAAGCTTTAAGTGTCACATGGTGACTGATGGGTCTTGTTTGAGGACACAAATACAGTTCTTTCTTATTTGGTACCTGTAGGATTTGAGAGAAAACATTCTGAACCTTGCCTTTATCATGAGTGTCCCAAAAGTTGGCAATGCTTAACCTGTGGAATTATTTAGAACAATGTGGAACTGGAATAACCCCAAGTGATGCACCTGTCTGTAGTTCCCATGTCCATATTGGGATCTGTCAAAGAGTCTGTTTCGTCTCACAGAATCAGACATAACTTCAGAGTGATTTGTTTCTTTGAAAGTGGATAGTTAGAAACCAAGTAATGTTTTTTCTGATTTGACTTAACAAAGAAGAAAGTGCCATTCCTTATGTATAATCTTGTTTGTGAATTTCTTGTGTATAATCTTTTGTTTGTTTTTAGTTTTGCGAGAAAGGTTTCTCTGTGTAGCTTTGGAACCTGTTCTGGCACTAGCTCTGTAGAACAGACTGGCCTTGAACTCACAGAGATCTGCCTACCTCTGCTGAGGCCTGGAATTAAAGGCATGTACCCCTCCCACACCACCCCACCCCCGACTCTTGTGTATAATCTTAAAATGAGTTTTTATGGGTCGTTTATGCAAAGAACAGAAAAGACTTTCTTGAAGTTAGTATTTGCAGTTTTACTGTATGTATCCTAAGAGTTGTTTCGTAGTTTACTTCAGGGTGTTACTGGCTTGATTTGAAGTTTCTGATGAGAACTTTTGACTCCCATCTCATGGATACTTGTTTGGTTCCCTTCTCTTGTCTGTGTACACTCACCACTATGTCCTAGTTGTATATGCCCTATACTTGCTGATTACCAAGTTTACACCTTTAAGTGAAATTTAATGTGCCTAAAACAAAGTGCTCTCTGATATCCCTCTAACATCACACCTCATTGTCTTTCCACTGCTAGGAATGAGCATTCTCTTGTCATTGTCTAGGTGAGAGCTCACTTGACACAAACTACATGTTCATTCTTACTTCAAATAAACTCACATGCTTGAAACTGTCTGCAGGAGCTCAAGCCAGACCCAATCTCATCATGGGGAGGGAATGAAGACACTGAGTCTGGAAAGTTGACTCAGGTGACCCAGGTTCATTCATAGTACCCACATGGTATCTCACAACCACCTATAGCTCCAGTTCCAGGGATATCTGACACCCTCTTCTGGCGCTCTAGAACACCAGGCATACACATGGTGCACATATATACATGCAGGCAGATACTCATATATGAAATAAAAGTAAATCTTTTTAAAATATAGATCACCTACATTGCCCTGAAGTTTCTTTGTCCCTTTCCTTCCTCTTTGTTTCCATTCCCTTTCTCCTTTCTCCTGACCTCTTTTCCACTCTATCTTCTTTTTATTTTTCCCCTGAGTTTCCCTTCTTTCCCCTATTCCCGTTTCCCTTCTTTTTTCTCTTCTGCTTCCTCTTCCTCTTCTCTATCTTCTTTCTCTTCCTATCTTTTCATTCCCCTTCCCCATTTTCTTTCCCTCCCTTCCTTTCTCTCCCATTTCCTTTCCCTTTTCTTTTCTTCTCTTTTTTCTTCCCTCTTTTATTCCTTTCCTTCCATTTCTCAGTGGATATTGAAACCAAAGTCTTACACATGACAAGCCAATACAACCCTGAGTTGTCCACAGCTTCATCATCATCATGATCTTAAGACAGTATCTCTGTGTGGCTCTGTCTGACCCTGAACATTCAGCAGTCCTCCTGCCACTGCTTTCCTGAGTGCTGAGATTATGGTGGGCCCTACCATACTCTTTTGTATGTCCTTGTACTCATTTTCCTACTACTTTGGCCCTTAGCAATCACTTACACTTTCAGTAGCTTGTGAGTACAGATCATAAAACTACCTCCCAGAGTTTAGGTCAGAAGCCACAGCATACCAAAAGAAACTTAGAAAATTTCTTATCCGCGGGGCTATGGAATAAATTCACATGTGCTTTTCGAGTCATGTTCTTTCTTCTTCTGCCTCTCTTGTCCTAATTATCTATAATTTCTTAGCTCCAATTCTTTATATATTAAAATTTAAAAAATTTAATGAAATAAATCAAGCTTTATTTATTAAAATACAATTGAAATGCCACTACATTTTCCCTTTTTGTCTAAAATAAAGTCTATAACTATAATAAGAAAACTATATATAATAAGTAAAATGACTGTATACAATATATACAGGCAATAAATATTTCAACAGTGTAATTCTCTTATCCTAATTGTCTATAATTCCTTAGCTCTAATTCTTTAGTTTCAGTTCTGTAGTTCTAAATCTTTTTCTAATTCTCTGTTTCAATTCTTTCTACTTCCCTGCTCACCTAGCTTAAAAACATTTTTTACAGAACACTTGAAGCAATAATTTAAAAACTACAAGAGTTCCATCTCATTGGTGAAAAGCACATTCCTTTGGATCAGTGATAAGGACAGAGCCCTTTACTATGACAATGCAAAGTTCAAGGTTTCTGGAGTAAGACTGTGACCAGAGATCAGGGATACGGTACCCAGAGAGATAGGCTATGAGACATAGTTATTTTGTTAGCTAGACTTGGCAAACGAAGAATTGGCATGAATTTTTAGGCTTCTTTATGTTAATAACCTTGGTTAGACACCTGCAACCCTTGACCTTGTGCATAGCTGTAAAGTTTTAAACTTATGATGCATTTACAAAACCTTTTAGTCTAGTTTGAACTTGTTCTACGGTAAAAATGAACTAATTGTGTGCAATTTGTCTTAGACTGAAGAGAAATTTGTTGTTTTCTTGTGTTAGTCTAAATGGAACAAAGCAGTCTTTTAAGTGCCTCACAGTCCTCATGGGAAAATAGATCTAGTTATAAAACATATCTTAGTATATTTCTATATATCAGAATCATATAATTAATAAGAAGTCATCTTCCTGACCATCCACAGATACATGTGTGCTCAGTAGATGTGATATTTTCACTAGTTAAACACACAAACAGTGGGAAAATACCCAAAACTATTTTTAGAGAAGAAATGAAGTGACTTGTGAGAGAAATTATAGACAGAGACAAACAATTATCAATAGCCAGCTTTTCCAAGTGGGGCTCCCCATCAGAGAATCACTCATCTGATAGGTTGGCCTGTTGAACACTAGTTATCACCTTATGTATACTTTTTCTACTCTGCCCAAAATATATGATCATGGATTTACAAGTGACCTCAAGCACTTTCTTTCTCCATACACTTTATCCTTCTAGAGAGCTAGACATGAAAGACTTGTTCCACCAAAATATATCAGTATATATATAAATACAAAAAATCAGACAAAAAATCAGTATGGAGAAGAATAGGTAGGATAAAAGTCTCAACCCCTAACCAAGAAGCTGTTTGCAATTGATAGTTGCTGGGAGAGGGAAAATCTGTTTTCTTCATACATCAACCACATTCCAGAGCAGACCCCAGGCTCAGGAAACACAAAATGTACTGCATGGTTTATGTCTGCTTTGTTTTGATTTTGTTTTTATTTTAATTAAATTTAATTTTGTGCAAATGTCTGTGTTTAAGAGAAAGAATATGAAGATTGTGGGGAGAGAGGAGGATCTTGGAGGAGTTGTGAGAGGAGAAAAATATGGCCAAAATATATCATATAAAATTTTTAAACTTTTAAAAATTTTTAAATGTGGAATTGAACTAGACAGTAGCTTGAATCTCTGTAAAAACAAAAGCACACAGCCAATTTTTATTGTTTTTTATCAATTTAATCTTTATTATGAATTCAAATCAACTTTGATTTATCTAAAATTTGTATATCTGTGTACATTCCTAAAATGTATGTTCATGAGTGTATCACTTTACAGTGATGGTATGTTCTGAGAAATGAGTTGTAGATGACTTTGTCATTGTGTGAATACAATGCATATTACGTACTCAACCCAAGATGGCATAGGTTAATTACTTAGTTTGCCCTCTTGATATAATCAAGAGATACAGTAAACACAATATTGACAAGTCGGCTACCAGGAAGTGGATGTTGTTTTACAGAAAGCATTTTTTTCTTTTGCTAAGTAGAATTGATCCCAATAAAAATAGAAAAAATATAATAAGAACAATATGCTGCATATAAAAACCAGTAACATTGTCATGTATTACTATTATCAAGTATTGTATACTATGCATAATTTTACACTCTATACATTGTATTTTTATATAGTAGGGCTTTACACTAGTAACAGGACCAACCAGGGAGTAATGCGCTGTGTGACACACTAGAATGTCTATATCATCGTTAGTAATAGGAATTTTTCATCTCTGTTATCACACTTGGGTTGTCATTAACCAAAATGTTACATGTAGTATACACTAGGTTTTTTTGATAACTCAACATTGTGAAGGCAACTATTCAGGTAATTATAAAATTCAATGTTTGTATATCTTGGTTTTTACCCTCTATTTTTCCTGTTTGATTTTAAAGACAACAGTATAA